CGTACTTGTAACTTGAAACTTGAGTGCAGACTTTCTCACGTAGTTTTTTGGCTAAGTCCACACACAAATCTTTTTTACACACACACACACAAATTCTTTTTACACATACAAATCCTGATTTACAAGTACAAAATATTTATGACCATAATTTGAGCCCATATCAACCTGCTCTTTCTCTTTTACATGACTGAAAGTTTTACAATAACCTAACATAACTCTGAGTTACATAAACATGTATAGAAGTGCCCTTGTTCTGTTTTTGGTTATTGCTTTGCTGTTTGGTTGGGGATTATCCAAGCAGCAAAACATGCTTTTCATCCCAAAAAATCTCTTTTTATGAGCAATATTTGACAGTTCAGGCTTGTTTAAAAAAACATGCCATTACATGATTTAAAGTGCTGTTTTAGAAGAGAAGATTTAAAAAAACAAAACAAAAAAACAACCTATACCTAATTAAAATTTAGTTTAGTTGATTGCCGTTATGTCTGCTTGTTTTTGAACCACTGTTCTTTGCCGGTCTTGGTACTGAATGTGAATGTGGTCTCTGGCTAATTTGCCCCACATGGTAAATCTAACCTTTAGTTTGTGAATATAGTGAGGACATAGTCTAGATGGTTGAAATAATCACAATGATTTCACTTTGTGTGTTTATTTGCACATGTAGGCAAAAGTGAATTTCATGAAAGGAGAGGATGCTCAAAAACTGAAAAAGTTAAAGAGCATCGACATAAAAGGAATGCCAATCACTGTTGTCAGAGAACAGGTATTGTACCTTTTCTGAGTTGTTTTTTAATTATGGTCAAACTGTCAAAACTTGGAATGTATTGCTGTAGCATCATTATACTTTATTTCTTTTACTAATTTTATTTTGTAATTTAATATATTATACTTTTTCATGTTTATTCAAACTAAATCTGTTTACAGAATACTGTTACAAAGAAGCCTCTTCCAACCTTTTACAAAAAACAACAGAAGCTTCCACAGAAGTAAGATATGCTTGACATTCAGACCTTCATCTTGATTGAGATTCTCTTTGTTCCTGTCATTTGCACTTATTAAAATCTTTTCTTCACAGAAAAATCATCAAGTCAGCTAAATCCGCTTCAACTGGAAATTCTTTTAAAAAGCCGTTGTCTTTGTCATCTGGAGACAAAAAAAATACAACAGGCAAACTTGTTACTAAAGCAAAAGTCTTGGTTTCCAAAGCAAAAAGTGTCTCAACAAAACCGATATCCAAAACCTTAAAGCAAGGCAAAGTAGCTGCAAAAGGAGCTGTAAATGTTGTTCAAGAGAAGAAAGATGCTTCAAATCTTAAAGGTTCCAAAAGTTCAGGAAAGCAGCAGGGTGATGCCGTCTCAAAACAAAGACCTGCCCTCAAAAGATTTGAAAGCAATGCTAAAAACTCTGTAGTTGCATCTAAAGATACAGTCAAGGTGGTCCAATTGTCAAAAAAGACTGTGAATCCAATTAAAGGAACTGCAATTGTCACTCGTGCAAAGGTCTTAGTTGCCCAAGCACAAACGGCCTCAACTATCGACAAACCTCAAAGTCAATTACAACAATTGGCTGCAACAGGAACTTCAACAACATTAAATGTGGAAGAAATTACTGTAAAGGGCACTAATGTTCAATCTAAAACTTCAGAAGATAAGCCTGGTGTAGAGACTTTAAAGCCACCAGAAATGGAAATAAAGTTTCAGCAGCCAACAGTGGTGAGTGAGGAGACAACCAAGGTACTTGAAACAAGAAATGCAACAGCTTCTGAAACAAAGAACCAGGCTGATGAAAAAGTTAATCAGAAGGAAAAAGAGGTCAAACACACTGAACTATTAGAGTCTGTGAATACAAAAGTCGTCGAGCCCATGGAAATTGAAAGTTTTTCCGGTAGCAAATCCTTACGAGAACCAGAGTCCTCTGAAATAGGACAAACACCACTACAGACTTTAGGGAGCTCAGCTCAAGCCGCTTTGGATACAAAGCAGACGCCTGAAAGGATCGAAAAGGGTCAAGAGCAGCAAAAAGGCATGTTGGACACAGTTCATGCCACAAATGTTCCACCCAAACCTAAAGCTTCAGAAAATAAGCCTGATGCGACCTTCAAGACTCCCAAAAGTGATACAAATGTTCAAGAATCTGCAGTTATGCCAGAAGACAGAGCAAGAAATGCGTCTGCTTCTGACATGAAGCAGCAGACAGAATTAGCCAAAGCTGAGACAAAAGAGGCCAGTCATACTGAACCACTTGATTCTGGGAATAAAAAGGTGACACAGCCCACAGAACATTTTACTGACAGAACAACTGAACTAACCGAATCCAATAAGGATCAGACACCAACCAGCACAACTCAGATTACACTTGATGTATCTCCATCAAAATATCCGATTCATACACCTCATAGAACACAGACTACCATAAAAAAAACAGAATCCTACAAGAATTCAGAGGTTCAAGAATCTGGAATAGTTCCCAAAAAGAAAACCAAGATTCCTGAGACAAAAAATGTATCAGATTCTGAAACACAGCAGCAGGCAAAATTGTTGAAAGTTGAGACAAAAGAGCCCAAACACACTGAGGATTGCTTTGAGGATACAAAGGTTCAAGATTCTGGATCTGCCAAAAATGATGTGGACGAGGCAATGGAAGTCGAACATTTTGCTGAGAAAAAGGCCTTACTAGACAAATCGAGTGAGGGTCAGACACCAGCCAGTACAACCAAGACCACACCAACAATTGATCACCCTCAGAGACTGCAGACCAGAGCTGAGACAAAAGAGGCCAAACACAGTGAATTACTAGAATCTGGAAAAACAAAAGAGACAGAGTCCATGGAAGTTAAAAGCTCTACTGATACGACACAGACCGTTGTCAAAAACACAGAAACTTTGAAGATTCAAAAATCTGCAACAGTGCTTGAAAACACAACCAAGGTTCTTGAAACAAGAAATGGAGCAGCTTCTGAAACAAAGCACCCAGTAGAATCTACCAGTGTTGATGTAGATGCAAAAGATACCAAACGTGCTGAATCACTGGAGATTGGAGCATGTAAAAAGGCCCTAGCAACCAAATTCAAGGAGAATCAACCTTCAGCTACAGCTGACACCATACTATGTGCATCTCTACCCAAACCTTCGACCCCATTAAAGACACCACTAAAGACACCACAGACAACTATAAAAATGCCATCCTCATCACAGATCCAACAGAGTGTGACACCAGATCCAGAGTCCACAACTGCACTAGGACAAAAAACCCTGCAAATGTCAGGAAGTTCAACTGAAGCTGCCCTGGAGGCAAAGCAGACGGTTCAGAGTGTGAACACAGTCGCACAGCAAAAAGGTATGTTTGATACCATTAAGCTTGTGAAACTGAAACTCTATATTTTAGGAATAAGTAAGGTAACAGTTAGGCACCATTATTAGCATTATTACACTCAACAAAAATATAAACGCAACACCTTTGTTACTGCTCCCATTCCCCATGGGATGGACGTAGAGACCTAAAATTCATTCCAGATACACAATATAACCATCCCTCCAAAACAGTGGTCACAAATCAGTCCAAATGTGTGGTAGTGGGCACATCTGCTATATTGAGATAATCCATCCCACCTCACAGGTGTGCCACATCAGGATGCTGATCTGACATCATGAGTAGTGCACAGGTGTACCTCAGACTGCCCACAACAAAAGGCCACCCTGGAATGTGCAGTTTTGTCTCACAGCAAAATGCCACAGATGCCACAAGCAATGAGGGAGCGTGCAATTGGCATGCTGACAGCAGGAATGTCAACCAGATCTGTCGCCCGTGCATTGAATGTTCATTTCTCAACCATAAGCCGTCTCCACAGGCGTTTCAGAGAATATGGCAGCACATCCAACATTATCTCAATATAGCAGATGTGCCCACTACCACACATTTGGACTGATTTGTGACCACTGTTTGGGAGGGATGGTTATATTGTGTATCTGGAATGAATTTTAGGTCTCTACGTCCATCCCATGGGGAATGGGAGCAGTAACAAAGGTGTTGCGTTTATATTTTTGTTGAGTGTAGTTGTGACTTTAGTATTGCATGGAATATGTAGGACAGTGTTGTTGGAGACACAAAATACAGGTTGTGTCTTTGTTACTGATAATGAAAAAAAACATACACTCATGTTGAAAAATAGTTTTCACAGAACTCGATGCATTTCTATGAATACATTCCTACTGAGTTTGCTGCCATTTCTTTAGTTTATGTCTGCCTGTGGAAATGTTCATGAGGTTTGCTTCTAAAATTCTTTTTCAAAATACTGCAATCTATCTAAATAAAACTTATCCTCCTTTTTAAGATCTTGTGATTGCTGTGACAAGTCAAAAGGACCCGTCAAAAACTGTCAGCAATGTTTTAGCAATGTCAACTGCAGTAGCTGCATCTTCCAAAACTGAGCCAATAGCTGCAACAGCAGGCAAGCAACAGCAAAGTTTTCGCAACCTGACTGTTGGGGAGAAGATAGAAAAGCTCATGAATAGAAATCGCCTGAGTAAGTAATGACAGAAGCCTGTATGTGGGTCATTATGTGGTTTTTTTGGATCAAAACTCCCATTTATTTAACTGTTTTATGTTCACTCTACCTCGCAGATTGTTTCAAAAATAATAAAAAATTGCCAAAGGTAAGTTGTTGCTTTTTCTTCTTTTTCTTAAAGGTATGAATAACCCATCTCTCAGTTTTAGCTGTAGCGAAAAGAATAATAAAAATCTAGGAAAATATCCTTTATGAATGTTTAGCAAAAGTAATAGTGTTATCTGTATGTCTGTAAAAATTACAAATGTTTTTCCACTTTTGTAAAGATAATTTGGAAATTTAGTCAACAAAAGTGACAACAAAACGTGTTTTTTTTTTTTTTTTTTTTTTTTTTTTTTTTTTTTTTTTGTTGTTGTTTTTCAGAAATAAAGTGGTGCTTTTGGCATTTCACATTTCTTTTTACAAGATAGTCATCATACTTTTGTCTCCTGTGTTGCATTCTGCTTAATAGTTTGGGTAAGTTCACTTTCCTGAATCTTAACTTCTAATTCCTCCTTTTCCCCTCCTGTTTAAAATGAAGGTGATATTGATCACAAACCTGCCAGAATATGAAAATAGCTGCTACACAGAGGCGGACATTGCCAATCAGCTCACCCTATTTGAATTTGGATATCTAGAAGATGACATCTATGTTATTCCTCAAATGCGTATGGTAGGTACCAAGTTATAAATCTGCATTACTCAGTGATCCCACAGCTATATTTCTAGGTCTCTTTGGTTTCTTTATGTGAGGTCAGCCTACATTTTCTTGTATTTGTGTACACCAACACAGTACACAAATACACACAAGTACAGTGCACAGTGAATAATTGGAATAATAACAAATGTGACTTTTCCTTCTAGGCTTTTGCCATTGCACCAAGTCTGATGAAGGCAAAAAAGCTTTTTCAAGCGTCAAAAGAGAAGAGTATTATTCTCAATGGGTCCACACTTTGTTTGGATTTTTTAACCCACTCCTTTCCAATGAATCCGGTACGTACTAATACAAAAATACTGTATATTGTGGCATGTTTGGGAAACAATTGCCGTGCATCTAGTGCACAATCTTGTTGATCCCTGTAGATTAGTAAATAAGGCACTGAGAGGATGGTAATTAACTAAATAACTTTAAAATATTGTTTAAAGTAGGTTTTTTATTAATTGAATTTTTAGATTATTTAAATGTAATAGAGCATTTAAATACCATACTAAGGCCTTAAAAATTTATTTTTTAAAAATATTTTATGTTGCCTCAAACTTCAAAGCTTCTTGGTTAACATTAGCAAAAAGCTTATTTATCTCGATTTCCTTGCTACAAGTTTTTAACTTGAAAATATCAAACTGTCTGTTCTTTGAATAATTATTATGATTTATTGATGATGCAACTAGATAAATTAGTCTTTCTCTGCCTTTTGATGTGCTGCGCCACAAATTGCTAAATTTGTATCAAGGAAAAAAGAAAACCCTCCAGACTGAAGTGCCTTATAAATACCACCTTACATACAATAAATGTTTGAAATGATATTACCCAAAATTAAATAAGAGAGTAAGAAGTGTCTTGCTGTAGAGCGTAGTGCCTTTAACGCTGTGTTCTCTTACATTCATGTTTCAGCTTGGGTTTTATAGCACCCTGATGAATCTGGTGAATTATGTAAGTAACTTTTTTCCCCCCCAAATTATACATAGATTTGTAAATATAACATATCAGATGAACAAACAAAAATAAACTCTTTGTGTTTGTTTGAATTTTTGCTGGCTCTTCTTAAAGCAGCAGACAACTGATGATGGATCAACGGTAATCTACATCAAGAATATCTCACCAAGTGAGGCCAATGATCTCAGGGAAGCTTTGGAAAAAATCGGTTCTGTCAAAAACTACCTGCCTCTCCTCAACAAGGTTAAAAACACACCTGTTCATACATTTGATTACGAGGATTTAAACAAAAAAGACATTGTTGTCTTATCTTCTCTTATCTTTCATGTTTATGCATGTCTGTTCTAGGTGTTTATTGAATTTGAGTCCATTTATGATGCTGATCGACTCGGAGTTTGGTACAGCCTCCTGAAACAGGGCTTTGCCCATAATGTCTACAGGGTTAAGATACCAAGAAATGAATCCACAGCAAGACGTAAGTCTTTGTTTTTGGATAAAATAAAGCAGATGAGATGTAGATGTATGGGGAGTTACATAATAGGTCGCTAAAAATATCCTTAAGGGTAACTGGTAACTCTTATGCTGGGCATACACTGAGTGATTTTTGGCCCATTTAGAGTCGATTTTTACGTTGTGCAACAGTTTTGGGGATCGGCTCGATTTTCACCTTAATCGTATGTTGTGCATTGTGTAGTATACATGGGGTAACGAGAAGCGACCTCGACCAGCTCCCAATCATCAATCTTTTGGTCATAAGAAAATCAAACCGGTTTGAAATCCTGTCAGCCGTCGTGAGGGTGTCAACGCAGCCTCTCACACTGTGCACACGCAAACACAGAAATGAAGATGAAAAGAGCAGCACGGCAGTGTAGCGTGTGATCTGGACACAAGCGATGGAGGGACAACTTGTAGAACTTTGGCAAGCTCATCTGAGCCTTTATGTGGCCTCACAAAATTATCACGACCACACCAACCGTGTGCCATACATGCATACAACAGAATTAACCTTGACTTACAATTCTGTTGCCTGCTACATTGAAAACAAAAACAAACTGCCTCAGCAGCTAGTCACTGTGTTGTTTTATATGTTAAATATCTTAAAATAATTGGAATGATATGATGGTAAATAGGAAATGTCAAAATCAAAGCATTTAATAAATTAAAATAAAGCTCTCTTTTTTTTGTTTGTTTGTGCAGCACCTAGACTGGCAGCGAAAGCTTTGCCGGACAGCAAGGTTGTCGCTGAAGGGGCAACAATCCCAACAGCAAATTTTGGTGTTCCTCAGGGAAGCAGTTCACCATTTTGGGTTACAATGAAAACGTATCCCTTTTTGTTCCCTACCACATCTCCTTGGTTTGTCATCCCAGGTGAGAAAAACAAATTGAACTAGAACTTAACTCCAGATTCAAAATGTAGGAAATAAGTGGCTCTCACATGTGACTCTGTTTATTTTTGACTTATAGATTTTGTGACGGTCCAGCTGACAAAAAAACAGGTAAGCACTTTTTTTTTTTTTTTTTTTAAATTCTCCAATCTGGTCAAGTAACAAGAAAATTGTAATTTTAATTACTTGTGATAAGATATTGTTTACCAACTAGATATAACATTTGGCTAAGAAAGTGGTTTGAAAATTGTTTGCATAACCACCCTTGGAAGTTTGGAGAAACTGGCTGAATCTTAATCTGCAAATGCATCTCTTTGAACCAACTTTTGTCATTTTCTTCTCAATTGCTAAAGAAATAATGTTGTAATGCTTTTGAGTCAATCGTCCAATCACCCCTGATCTCCAGTTCTAAACTCCATGCTCCTCATTTTGATATGAATATATATGAAATCTGCATTTTTATCCCATGTTCATTACATTCTGAAAATCTGTGCTTAATTATGTAAAATGTCATGAACTGTTTTCAGTAAAAATAGCATAAAATAGTTAATGACTTTATCAAAGGAAGCACAATGTGCAGGTGTTGCCTCTGCTTTTTTTCCCCCCTCTTTGAATTAACTTTGTGTCCTATAGAAAAACCGTCCTCCAGGCTCTGTTTTCCCCCACATTATGCTGACCGGTTTGCCAGAAGGGAACTACAGACACGAGGATGTCGCCAACCTGGTGTGGCACCATTTCCCTGTTCATAATCTTCATACTCTGTACTACAAGATCATCGTTTTATCACTGCAGAGGAGGGTGAGGAATAGATGCTGAAGACTGACACAAGCACAGACATTTTAATATTCCTCATTTGTTTTTTTGTTTTTTAATCAAACAAAGCTTTATTGAAAACTTTTATTTTTATCTGAGGCTTTTTCTATCCTAACCTACAGGCCTTCGTGTACTTCAGTGACTGGAATGCCTGTACCAGTTTTGTTCAACTGCACAGGAAAAATCCTATTTCTGTCAGAGGTCAGATACTCAATATCCACTTCGTGTTACAGGACATGCATCCTGGATCCACTGAGGTATGGAGAGCTCCGTCCAAAACTTTGATGTGTTATTCGGTCTGTTATTTTGCTGAACTATGATCAAATCATAGGGAAGATGGTTGGATGATGGTTGAAGACTGGCACAACCAAAACCATTGCGACTTTGTGCAATGAACTTGCAGTCTTGTTGCCTTTGATGTAGTTAATTCAAAGGTGGGGACCAGGACTGTGGCCACGCGCAGTCAGTTACCATCTTTGGCGTATCAAGACTGCGACAAAAACAAACAAACTATAAGGCAGAGTCAGTGAATCATTTTGTGAATTAATGGGTTTAAGTTAGCAATTACATGCAGTCTGTTCATGATAATACAATGATTAACTGTTACGTAGTATAAACATACAAATTCACCTTAATTTCTTACCTTTAGAGTCCAGCTAGAATCTGAAATTAATTTTTATCTTGTTCCTGCAGTACATGCTTGATAACTTTGCTTTTATATGGGACTATAACCTGAATGCAACCAGTTGACAACCATCTCCAAAAGATTGATTCTGTTCATCTGGACGTAGCGTTTTCAGTGGGAGAAACGTTTCGTCACTCATCCAAGGGACTTCTTCAGTCTCAGCTGACTGTAGGTTTCCCCAATCTTGTAAACAGTACCAGCACACTGAAGGAACAATGGTTCCTTCATCATTATTATGCAAATTCTCATGGCCATTGATCAACAACCACTGATCAAAGCCCACTGATCAAAGCCCACTGATCAAAGCCCACTGATCAATGGCCATGAGTACCATTCACAGTGAGTTGGGGATTAGCTGCAATCACAGCATTGTAAGATAGGCCCCCTCCTCGATTCAGAGATGGTCTTTCCCTTTTCACGTAAATGGCCTCCTTGACTCCGC